TATTTCTTTTAAGTTGCAGCTAACCTACTGCTTTCGATTCACTTCTAGATCTACGCAACTAGAAAAGTGTTTTTCTTTTGCTCAATAACACTACATGCTGTACATCAATAAATAAACCTAAATTAAAACAGTTTTCAAAAATACCAATCTGTAAAAATATTTGTATTTATTTATTTGATTTAAGCCTAAGGAAGTTCTCCAGGAGAGTAACTTTCTATATTTCCATAAAAGTTGGGGGGATAAGTCTGATAACTGTTAACAAATGGATATTATGATATTATTTTTCAATCATAACTAGTTAGTATAAATAACATAATGCCGAGATAATACCCAACTAGGGCACGTTTACCAATTTTAAAATGACAAAATTAAAAAAATATTGACAAAAATATGAGTAAATAAAGCTTACACAATGGTCACCGCGTTTGTTACATGAACGGACCGACGTCCCACACCATACAAATTGTGCTAGATGACGTGACAGTGACATGGAGGTACCTAGGGGGGCCGGGGAGAGCAGCTGCCCCCTTGAAAATCTCGCAGAAAATGTATGAACTCGCCTAACCACTAATCAAAATGTAAACGGTGCTGACTTGTGCATATATCTAATTTTTCATGTAGGTGCCTTTGTGTAGTGTGTATAACAATACAGCCGCGGACGATCTGACGTATAAAAATCTGATTTCCCCCCCCCCCAGGGCAGAAGCTGGGTACGCCCATGGTGACAGTTACTAGCAGAGAGGTTTTGAGACTAAAAAAATGCAAAAGAACCTCACTCAGATCTATTGGGATACGATATGAAATTAGTTTTAAGATTTTTTTTATTTGTTTTTTAACCAATAATGTATACAAAACTTTTGTCAAAAGTTTAGCTATTTAGCAGGGGTTAATCCCTGCATTTCTGACAGAGGCAAACTAAGTTACCTGTTTGTGAGACTGGTTACAGAGATTCTTAAAACTAAAGTGAAATAAAGTTTAATTATAAGAATAGTTTATAAGAACGTGTTAACTCAACCAGCGCTAGCCATTGACCTCACTCTCATCCTGTCATTTAAGTGCGATACAAAAGTACATGATAGATGGCAGTTACTATCATAACATCTTCCTTTACAAGTGGTTTTTGGTTCACATTTTAAAATACAAAAATAAGTTGTCAACATATTTTTAGATTTACAAACTAAAAATACTTTTGAACTTATGAGCCATAATCTTTTAAGTACGATGGTGTTTTTATAGTTCTGCCAGATCTTGTTACATAAGTTTGATTGTTTTGAATACTTTGGTTTGACTTAGAACTAACACTTTTGTTTACAACATCTGAAATCGCTTGTTCAGGACTCCCTCGAGTTAAATTTGGAATCGCGTTATTTGGTACAATTTTATCACAAACATATTCAGTCGTCTAATTATATAAATGCAAACGATTTCTCTCAAGTTTTCGACCGTTTGACATTTGTACTTCGTATGACCTCGGTCTATCATAAATTTTTGTTACAACTGCTGGTTCTAACGGTTTACCTTTTTCTTTTCGAATATACACATCATCTGCTAATTTCTGTTTCTATCATACAAAAGTTTTTGTTTGGTTTACCTTTTTAACAATTTTTGCCTAAGTAACTCATTCTCATTTTCCCACTCATTCCTTTTTACATTAATCGGCAAAATTCCACGCGTTTCATAACCAAATAACAATTCGTTCGGTGATTTTATTTCGTTTGAAATCGGAGTGGTTTTATCCTCTCAATGCAAGTGTCGGATCTCTACTCCTATGCTCTATCTTCTTAAACATACTTTCCACAGTACCAACACGACGTTCAACCATACCATTCGATTTCGGATAATTCGGGACTTGACGTTACATGTTCAAGATTCCAGGAATTTACAAAATTTCGCATATCGCGATTTATAAAATGGGTACCATTATCAGAAATTGCTTTTTTCGGAATTNTGTCAACATATTTTTAGATTTACAAACTAAAAATACTTTTGAACTTATGAGCCATAATCTTTTAAGTACGATGGTGTTTTTATAGTTCTGCCAGATCTTGTTACATAAGTTTGATTGTTTTGAATACTTTGGTTTGACTTAGAACTAACACTTTTGTTTACAACATCTGAAATCGCTTGTTCAGGACTCCCTCGAGTTAAATTTGGAATCGCGTTATTTGGTACAATTTTATCACAAACATATTCAGTCGTCTAATTATATAAATGCAAACGATTTCTCTCAAGTTTTCGACCGTTTGACATTTGTACTTCGTATGACCTCGGTCTATCATAAATTTTTGTTACAACTGCTGGTTCTAACGGTTTACCTTTTTCTTTTCGAATATACACATCATCTGCTAATTTCTGTTTCTATCATACAAAAGTTTTTGTTTGGTTTACCTTTTTAACAATTTTTGCCTAAGTAACTCATTCTCATTTTCCCACTCATTCCTTTTTACATTAATCGGCAAAATTCCACGCGTTTCATAACCAAATAACAATTCGTTCGGTGATTTTATTTCGTTTGAAATCGGAGTGGTTTTATTCTCTCAATGCAAGTGTCGGATCTCTACTGCTATGCTCTATCTTCTTAAACATACTTTCCACAGTACCAACACGACGTTCAACCATACCATTCGATTTCGGATAATTCGGGACTTGACGTTACATGTTCAAGATTCCAGGAATTTACAAAATTTCGCATATCGCGATTTATAAAATGGGTACCATTATCAGAAATTGCTTTTTTCGGAATTCCAAATCTTGCAAAAATTGACTTTTGTTTTGACACAATTGTTGAACCAAACATGTTCTCCAATTTTGCAACTTCCACATACTTGCTGAAATAATCAATAACTAAAAACCAATGACTGTTTTGAAATTCAAACAAATCCATAGCAATTGTTTCCCACGGAGCATTCGGGACTTCATGTGGTAACAAAGGTTGTTTGACGTTCGATCTGTTGAATTGCATACAAGATTCGCAACTTTTTACAATGGTTTCAATGTGCTGATTCATGAATAGCCAATACCAAATTTTTCTCGCACAATTTTTACGCTTTTCAATTCCAAGATGATAATAATGAATCAAATTTAACATCTTTTTTCGCAGTTTTCTAGGAACTACGAATTCTGTTACCTTTAAAAATAAACCCTTCTATTACACACAATTCGTCAGCTTAACTGTGATATAGTTTTACTACTTCAGGTATCTTTTTGGAATCGCTTGGTCAACCTTCTAAAATTTACTTTATCAACATTTGCATTTCCTCGTCATTGTGCGTTTCTTTTTGAAATTCTAATTTTTTCTCCACGGAAATCGGTAACGACTCTACCAATAAGAAAACTTGTGCTTCAGTATCTTTTTCGTCACAATTTGACGGTGGACAGTCATTTATTGACTTTTTAAATATAAATTCTAACGGTTTGTGATCTCTTTCAACAACTCTCTTTCCATAAATGTACTGACTAAATCTCTTACAAGCAAAACAAATAGCTAAAGTCTCTTGCTCAATTTGAGCGTATCTTTTTTCTACATCAGTCAACGATTTGCTCGCGTAAGCGACGGGTAAATTGTTTTGCAAAAGAACACATCTTGAAGGTCTGGCTCATTAGTTCACACTTTTTTGAGATTTTCCAATGAAATCACATTGCGGTGTGCTCCGGTGTCAAATTTGACATTTACCTTGTACTGATTGTCAATCTGAATCGTTTCGCACCAGTCTTCATTTTGTTTTGAAAGTGAAAAGTTAAATACTAACTTTACTTCAAAACTTTCATTTTGATTTTGTATAATATTTACACTTTGATTTTTACAGATTTGTGCGAAATAATTCATCTTTCCATAGTTTGAGCACTTCTTCCCCCACGCTGGACACTTGTTTATGGGATGAAACTTGTTGCAACGGAACGGTGCAACGGCTTGACTGCTGTGCTGCCGTCTGTTAACACGGTGTCGTACTGCTTGGCTGCTTCCATTTCTACTTCTGCTTCAGTTGATTTTTGTTTTTCGATGCTTTTTTGACGTTCACCTTGGCCTCAGCTTCCAATGTTGCTTCTGTGACAGCTCGGCGGCTTTACAAACGTTTATGCACTTTTCCAGGTCCAGATCGTCCTCTCTCAATAATCTTGTTTTTAAGTCCTGGTCCAGCACACCATAGATCACTGTCCTTGATGAGACTGTCACGGAGAGCACCGAAACCACACACACTGCTCAGCTTTCTCAAATCAGTGATCAACAACGAAAAAGTTTCTCCTGGTTGCTCGTCGTCCTTCAAGCCAAATATGTCGAATAGGTCCAACGCCTCCTCTCCGATCACATGAAAAAGAACTGCAACTTGTCGTTCTGCGGGCTTCGTAACGAGTCAGATCGCCTTCAGGTAGAGCTCAAAACGTTGTCTCAATTTGCGCCAATTTTCTTTGAGGTTATTTTTAAACGAGAGCGCAGTGGGTGGCCGCATGGAAGCCTACATTGTATTGTTTCTTTCGTTCACGTCTAATAATTGACCCTCGTTCACCTCAAGGTAGAGTTCGTTGTCTTCCCGGATGGGCTCGAGAAGTGTTGTTGCAGGAAAGTTCTGGAACAGGGCCTCCAAACATTGATCTACTAGTTAATGGCGGCGAAACGTCGTCTTCGACCTCGCCACGTGCCGTGAATCTGGGTATGTCAACTGCATCCTCCTTTTCTCTCACTTTTTACCCGACTGCACCATGTTATGTTTTCATTAATAATAAAACGTGAACTTTAGTTTTAAAATTTTTAATAAACTTTAATTATAAGAATAGTTCATAAGAACTTGTTAACTCAACCAGCTCTTGCCATTGACCTCACCCTAATCCTGTCATTTAAGTGCGATACAGAAGTACACGCTAGGTGGCAGTTACTATTATGACAACAACCGAATTTCTAAATTAACCGTTCGCGAGCATAGAAGTGACTTCTTTTCATTAAAGGCGACACGACCCTGCGCTATTTTTAGGTAGCGGCAGAAAGGGTGGAGTTGAGGAATTCAATAAAAACAAATGGTTATTGTATAGATGATGAGACCGTCTATTGAATTTTCTCTCATTCTTTTTGTGTTGTGGAGGGGAACTTCTACCCACAACACTTTTTTTATGGTGGGGGGGGGAACTTTTACCCAACATAACCTTTCCTTTTCTTACTTTTTTGTGGGAGTGAAGAGACTTCTACCGTCCACAATCCAACCATTCCTCCTTAATGCATAAGATGGGTGAAAGTTCTCCCCTCTCCCACAAAAAAGAAAAGAGAAAATGCGACAGTCGTCTTATATTCTGTACCATTCACACTAACCCTTTATTTTTTTATTCATCTACATTCGTCCTCCACCTAAAAACAGACTAAATTACTATTTACCCTATTTTCAACTTTCAGCCCCAGCTTCTGCGCCTCCTTGAGCTCATTACGATTAATGCCATTTTTAATTGTCATTTTCATTTCTACGGCTCATATATATGTAAAAAAGTGTCTCCCTCACCTTCAAACGTCTACTTTTAACCTAAATGACAGTTTCCGATAGGTAAAATTTTTTTTAAATTGGTATTTCTCTGGAGCACGAAAACTTCACATTGAATGTAACTGAATGTAGTTTTTTTTTGCAGTGTATAGTTCATATGTGGTATATCAATGTGGACATGCAAATATTTCTATTTTCCCCTTTATTACTGTGGTCCATTATTCTTTATCCCAAGAAAATGCTTTTTATTGGCCTGCCCTTGTTGACAATAATTTCCACTGTGGTAGTTTTTCTCACTGTGTATATTAACGAAATTGTATGGTAAGGATATAACACGTCAATATAACGGTATCCAGTAATACCCTGATATAAGAACAAGTACTAGCTTGAAAAATAGAAAAGTTATGTATTCATACAATTTTATTGAATTTTATGAAGCCATCGTTATCTACAATATAACTTCAACTAAACAAATTAGTGTTTTCGTAAGCCAGTGATTTTCATGCTGTATTTGATCTATCAATTTACTTCGGGGTATTATTGTACACAAAATACAACACCATTTCAAATTAAAGCAACCACTTAAGTAAAATTTGTTTTGAAATAAACATAAATATCTGTAATTATTTTTAGGTAAAGTTTAAACTATAATAATTTTGTAACAGTGATTCTAAATTAAAATTATTTTTGCTTGGACATTTCCTATACAAATAGATAATGTTTGGCCATATCGAAAAATAAGTTTGCTTTTTAGGTATTCGAGTGATTATTATTACAAATATTATTTTGTAACGCACACACATTTAGCCCCGTGGTTTATTGGAATGGCGTTGGGCATCATACTACTTAACAGTAAAAATAAAAAGTTCCAACTAAACAAGGTAAAACAAAAAAATACGTTTTCAAACGATGAAGGTTCAATGTCTACCTGGCATTTGAATATTTTTAACTTTAAACTATTATT